GGGCGCAGGCAGGGCGGGCCTGGGGCTATGGCTTATATCGGCGTAGGGGCTGCACGCTGCTCGTCCCTTGGGGGCCTCCGCGGAGGGTCTGCAGGGGGGAGGGACGGGGCTCCGCGGGGCCGCTGTCCCGCGCGGGGCTACTTCTTGAGCATGTCCTGCAGCGGCCCGGGCAGGTACTTGATGACGGTGTCCAGGATGCTCTCGTCCTCCTCCTCGACCTCGTCCCCACAACCCGGCGGGATGGCCTTCTTGGGCCGCGTCAGGCTCCCTTCGGAGTTGGCCTCCATGGCGGCCTGCGCCTCGGCCTCGCGCTCCTCCTTCTTCTTGATGCCGTACTGCGAGGGAGGCGGGGGTCAGGGCGGGGGTCCCGGCGGCTCCTAGGCAGGCCGCAGCCTCCCTGGGCCAGGGACTGGCCCAGGAACCCCAGGAGGCGCGTGCGCGGACCCCTGGCCCACGAGGCAAACGAGGACCCCAGAGGGAGAAGGGACCCCAGAGGGAGAAGAGACCCCTCGCCGGGGGGTGCCTGGAGGAGTGGGAAGCCCCCACGGAGAATGGGGGCCAGCAGCTGAGAAGGGGGGAGCAGGGGATGGGGAAGCTCCCATCTTCCTTGAGAGGAGAGGGGGCTGTGGCCCCACCTCTGGCTCCAAACCCAGCCCAGCCCCTGGCATCCTGCCTTCCAGGAAGCCTCCAGCTTGGGGCAGGGAGGGATGGGCAGGATGCTGTGTGGCAGAGGTGGGGAGAAACAGTCACCCTGCAGCTGACCCTCCTGCCCAGTGCCTGGTCCACGACCTGCAGTCACTCCTGGGCCTGGCCAAGGCTGCCTGCATGCAGCCACAGCCCCAGCAGGGCCACTCCCTGGCAGGCCACTTCAGCTCCGTGGGCAGCTGGCAGAGGGGCCTGGGCGGTGGTTACTTCCAGGCACTGGGTGTCCTGGAATCCTGCCTAGTTGTGACCTCAGCCGGCACGCCTGGGCCTCACCGAGCCCCTGCCCACCCCCGTTTCTCATCTCCTGTGAGTGTGTCTGCCCTCTGTAGCGGCTGAATACTGTCCCCCTCAAACTCATGTTGCCTGGAGCTTCAAATGTGATCTCGTTTGGAAATAGGTCTTTGTCAACATGATTATGGTAAGGATGGGGACGAGGCCATCCTGGATTTGAGGGGCCTCAAGTCCAGTGAGAGTGTCCTTGTAAGAGACAGAAAGGACAGACACCCGGACGGGGGCGGGCATATGAAAGCGGAGGAAGTCGCAAGTGTCGAGGCCACAAGCCAAGAAACACCAGGGGTTGCAGGGCAGCCAGACGCAGGAAGGGGCAGGGAAGGGCCCTCCCCCAGAGCCTCCAGAGGGAGCGTGGGATTTTGGCCTTCTGCCCTCCAGGCCTCTAAGTTTCTGATACCAGGCAGCAGGGTTTTGGTTCTTAGATCAATACACCTCCCCACCCCACATTCCTCCAGCCCTCCTGTGAGCCGCCAGCCCAGGAAGCCTGTGGTCATGGTGAGGCCATGGAACTACGGAACAGCCTCTTGCTGCCCAGGAAGGTGGGAACCAGTGCAGTTGGGCTGGCCTGGAAGGATTGGGGGCCTGGTGTCGTACAGGAGCCGGTTGTCCATCCCCTGGGCAGGATCCCCGAGCCGGGTCCAAGGCCCTGGGTCTGAGATTAAGGATGCTCTAGAGCAGTGAAGGCGTCAGCAGCTGTGTCCAGGAGAAAACTTAGAAGGGGAGTGGGCACCAGCACTTTACAGGACCGAGGAGCACACCACGGGATCGCCAGCCGCAGGGAGGAGCCTTTCTGCCCAGGAGGAGCCCCTCCCCTGCCATCTCCTGCTCCTGTCTCAGCAGCCCCTTCCCATAGAAGTGGTTGGTTCTGCTCCTGGTGCTGGGCACCCCCTGGCTCTCCAAGGAGGCCCCTTCCTCCTCCCAAATGGAGGCTGCCTGTGTGCCCCCCAACCCCACTGAGGGCAGTCTCGGCACCTCTCCCCTCCCCTGGTGCTGCAGGTGGCTCTGGGTGTGGGGGGCCAGGGCCACCTTCAGTGAGATGGAAAGGAGGGCGCCATGCTCCCAGCGGCCTGCGGCCAGAGCACCACCTGGCCACTGAGGAGAGAGAGGGGCTGTGGGCTCGCCCTGGTCCTCAGCAGCCCCTGCACACTCTTGACAGAGCTGGGACTCCAGGGATCTCCTCAGTGAAGCGAAGAGTGCAGGGTAGGAACGTCCTCCACAGGGACAGGGGCGTCACCCAGAGGGCCCTGCAGGCCCAGAACAAAGCCCTGACCCCGCGGGGCAGCAAGAGCAGACTGGTTCTGGTCCTAGCCATCCACAGCGGGAGGGGCAGCAGCTCCAGGTACGGAAGTGGAGGGGGCACGTGCTCCTCGTCCTGTGGGGCCAGGGGTGTGCTGGGGAGAGCGATGCCACTGGAAGCTAGGTCTGGCCAGAGCCTCCTTCCAGCCAGGGGTATGGGGGTCTGTGCATGCGGCGGCCACACGTGTGCCCAGCCCAGGAGGCTGTGCTGCCCATGGCAAAGGCACTCAGGAACACGGGTGTGCTCAGAGGAGCAGGCATGTAACAGCGCGAACATAAGTTGTGCAAGCAAAGGAACCTCCTGGGTCAGGGGAGTGACCCTTAGGGCTTGGGGGACCCTGTCTGCAAATGGTGTGGGGTCCTTCCCTCTGGGCCCAGGAAGGAGACTCCAGGCCCTGCCACCAGGTTGTGGGACACTCAGAGCTTGGCTTGAAGTGCCAGTTGCTGCACTGAGGCTCCAGGTCATTCTGAGGCTGAGGTCATGCTGGACTCAGCCTGAGGGCCAGGGTCACTCCGCCGGGAACACGGGCTCTGGGGCTGGGCTGCACGCCGGAGCCTGAGACCCGGTTCTGAGGCGTCTGCTCCAGAGACAAACACCCAGGCACACCCAGCCCTAGGCCTGCCATGATGCTGGTCAGCTTCTCTCCAGGAAGTAACACCTGAGGATGGGAGTGGCTGCTGGGGGAGCCTAGGAGGCCCTGACACGTCTGAGGTGAGACCCTGAACCCTGAAAACACTGTGTTCCTGAGAAGAAAAGGGCAGTGGGTGCTAATCAATACTGAGAACCAACAATAGGAACGATAAGACCAAACACCCAGCATTCGGCAACCAGGTGGACACCTGCTAGCCGCCGTGTGAGCTGTTGGGGGTGGGGGGATGCAGTGTACTGGGGCAGCCTAGTGGGCCCTCAGAAGTCCCATGCAGGAAGGCCCAGGCGTGAGCTGCCCGACATGGGTGGCTGGAAGCTTATGTAAGCCAAGGGCGGGTCAGTCAGTGCTCGGAGCACAGAGGGGCCAGTCTCGCTCTGGATCCCTGGGCCTGGGCCTGTCCAGATGGCTGCCTGACTGGAGGTGCAGGTGCGATGCTCCTCTGGGAACTGCCTGAGGGGCTGGATACTCCGAAAGGATCCAGCCCCCATCCGCGAAGAGGCCTTGGACAGGGCAGCTCAGCACCTCTTCTCTAACCAACCCCCAAGATGCCTGGGGGTGCCACAGCCCAGGGGAGGCTGGAGGCAGCAGGTGTTCTGATCAGGTGGCCACACCTGAGGGCGGGGTTCCCCCACCCCCAAAGGCTCCGTGGAGGAGGGCTCTGTGGGGAAGGTGTGGACGTGGGGTCTGGGGGGGATCCAGTGTGGTGGGGCCTCCAGAGCAGAGAGGCTGGTGCTTCCAAGGCCTGAGGGGCCAGTGGACTGTGGAGGGGCCTGTTCTTGTGGGCAGGTCTGTGGCCTCTATCCCTGCCACCTGTGTTCTCTGAGGGGCTTAGACCAAGGCAAAAGCGCAGGTTGGTGCCTGGCAGCAAGGTCAGGCCAGCTCCCCATAGGCCTGACCAGAGAGCCCTGCACCCCAGCTGTTAGCTGTGGGCCCCACACGGAAACTGAGGAGATGCTTACGCTTCCCCCTTTCCTGGGCCTCACTCTCCCTGGTGTCTCCCAGTCTCTGGAGGGTGCAGCTGCTGCATCCTGTCCGGGCCACTCAGTCACTGACACTGCTGGCCCTGTCCCCACTGCCCTTGGGGCCTGGACATGGTCCCCTGAGCCTGCCCTGTCCTGCCTCTGGGGACCCTGAGGAATGACACGGCCCGGAACAGCCGGTGTCCCTCTAAGATTATGCCAGCAGAGGCCGGAGCCGGGGGGACCTGACCCACTCTGGAGACACCTGCTTGGACACGGACCCAGACACAGCTCTCTCAGACCCGAGCCCACCATCACTTTGTGTCCCTCCCTCAGCTGCTACCCACCGCCACCTCCACTTCTACCGAGCGTCAGCTCTCTCAGCTCTGCCGGGGGCTCTCGGGGTCTTGGGGTCTTGGCTCTCTCCTCTCTGTTCCCTGCCTGTGTTGCTGTCTCTCCCTCTCTCTGTGCCTGTCTCTCCTCTCTTTGTCTATCTCTCCCCTCTCGGTGTCTCTCTGTCTCTCTCTCTCTGTGTCTCTCTCCCTCTCTTTATCTTTTTCTCTGTCTCTCCCTCTCTGTGTCTCTGTCTCTCCCTGTCTCTGTCTCTCCTTCTTTCTCTGTCTCTCCCTCTCTGTGTCTCTGTCTCTCCCTCTGTCTCTCTGTATCTGTCTCTTTATCTCTGTGTCTCTGTCTCTCTCTGTTCTCTGACTCCTCCTCCCTTCTCCTGTCCCCGTCCCCCGCTCCTGATACCCACAGTCTCCTGAGCACATCTGAATGGGCTCTGGCTGCCTGGCTCAGATGGTGTATATTCCCCTGACTTCCTCCTGAAGCCCTGGGTCAGCTAGGGGAGCTGGAGGGCGTGAGCCAGCACAGCAAAGTCGATCAACAGGAGACCCCTGGAAACGTCCAGTGACCCTGGGTGGGATGCCAGGGCACCCAGCCCCCACTCCCCATCAGTGGCTGCTCTGCACCCTCCAGGGTGCATGGCGGTGGCGGGGGGTTGCTGCAAGGGACCGGAGGGTGTGGGAAGAATCCGTGGGTGGGGCGGGGCAGCACTGCTGGACTGGCCTTTTGGGTATAGGGGCTGCATGTGCCCCGTCTGCCCCGCCCCTGCCCTCCCATGTCGACCTCTGTCCACTTCGGGAGCTCCAGCCTCCCCACAAGACCCCGTGGAGCCCACCCTTCCCTGGGTACGGCTGACACAAGGCCAGGAAACAGCTTCTGCACCTGCTCTGGGTGCCCCTGGCAGCAGGGAGGGGTCCCGGGAGTCTGAACCTTCCCACCCTGAAGCCAAGCCATCTTGGCCCATCCAGGGCAGGCGACTAAGGCGACCCTCTGGGAAACACAGCTTCCGGCCTGCCTGGCCTGCTGTGGCCCCTACCCTCGGGGCCAGCGCACGGGGTGAGCACTCGGCTCCAGGCAGCACCCCAGGCCCCTCCTATGTGGAATGTGAACATCTCCCACGTGCCCCCTCACCCCTGGCTGGAGGCTCCTCCAGGCTGCTGTCTGTGCCCACCCGGCTTCCAGCCAGGGCCCTGCTGGAGCCACCGAGGAAGCCAGAGCGGTTCTCAGGACCCAGGCTGCTCCCTGTACCTTGTGCCCCTGGGACCTGGCCGCTGCGGGGACCCGGCTGAGTGGGAGTGACGGCGCGGGGCTGTCCCTGTGCCGACAGCCACTCTGGGCCACCTCCTGAATCCCAGCGGGTGCCCCCCTCCCTGCATCCTCACTCCAGGCCGGGCTCACCTCAGAGCGCCCTCCCATGCCAGGTGGTCGCCCCATGACCCGTCGGCCCAGGGCCCCGGGCAGCCAGCCAGGCTCCACCTTCTCCCGCAGGGCTGCGCATCGGAATGCGGGCCCAGGAAGCCCGTCAGGGCCGGCCCTGTGGTCAGGAGCGGGACGGGCTGGGCCCCACAGAGGGAACCCAATCCGAACCCCAACCCCCTCCACCACCCTGAAGCCCCCAAAGGGGAGGAGACCCAGGGGGACGCCCGCCCCTCCTCCGGGCAGCCTCTTCCACCCAGGCGGGGTCTGGATCCCCGCTGGGCTCAGGGCCGATTTCCCAGCAGGCGGGGCCCGGCCCGGCGCGCACCTTGTCTCGGATGCCCTGGCGCATGGCCTCGCGCTCCGCCTCCATCTTGGCGTACTTGGCCTTGCGCTCCTCCTCCGCCTGGCGCAGCGCCTCCTGCCGCTCCTCCTCCTTCTTGGCGGCGTCTGGGTCCTTCTCTTCGTCACCCCCGAGCATCTTCCCCATGTCCTTGGTGGCCCCTGGGACAGAAGTTGGTGATTCAGACCGCCCCATTCAGACGGCCAAGGCCGGGCTAGTGTCTCAGCCACACCCCCACGCCCTCTGGCCGACTCCCCCAACCCTCCATCCACCCAACCCTCAGGCCTCCCCCAACACCCTCCAGTTGCTCTTCCCACCTCTATCTGGCCCTGACCCTCCTGCCCGGACCCTCCATCTAGCGTACTGGGGTCTCCTGCTTTGCTTTCTGTTCCTCAAGGGACATAGGCAACTCCGTGGGGGGCGGGAGAGTGGCGCTGTGGTTGCGGGTCTGTATGCACCTGTGTGTGACTGCGTGCTTATGCATACGTGTGGCTGTTGTGATTGTTTGTGTGTGCTCCACATGTGGTTGTATGTCTGTATGTGGTTCTGTGTGTGTTTGTGTAATATGCATGCCTGACTGTGTGGTTGTGTGTGGTTGTGCATGTGTGTGGTTTACTGCATGTGGCTGTGATCAGGCTTGTGGTCTTGTGGTTGTGTGTGCAGTTGTGTGTGAGCTCCCAGGGATTGATGGGTCTTCTCTGGTCCTGTGTCCAGCAGAGGCCTGGCCTCCTGGAGGTGGTGCAGTTCAGCTGTTTATGCGGGCAGTAAGTGGGTTGAGGGGCAGGGCTGGCTGTCAGAGGCAAGGTCACCGAGTCTGACCTCGGGGGCAGAAGCCGGCATGCGGGCTGGCAGGGGCCCTGCTGGGGCTGCAGGGGACTGCTTGTTGCTAGCACCCAGGCCCTTATTGCTCTGCGGTGCCAGCCACCACTTTTCTCGTGAGCTCCTGATTCACAGGCCCCACAAACACCTCCCTAAACAGCTCTGCGACTCAGCCCACAGGACAGAGATGCGTAATTACAGCCTCTGAATATAGCAGGCACTGCGGGGAGCCCTGGCCCTCGGCAGCTCCAGGGAGCAGAGCAAGCTGGCTGGATCCAGCACACAGTTGTCACTAAGGAAGGTGACCTGGCAAAGCACCCATGCTCCCCCACGGCCACTCATAGCCCTCAGCGTTGCAGGGGTGCTCCTGGACCAGCCTCGTGTGTGTGAGGGGACTCCGGCCACAGGTTGCCCCTGCAAATGCCGCTCTCCCCTGGCGGCCACTTGGCCCCCTCGAGGTGCTCCTCAGTGCTCAGGCACTGGTTCTGCCCCTCCTTGAAGGTCTTGCCTCTGGGCTCTGCCCACTGGATGCCAGACCTCCTAAGGACTGCCCCCAGCCAGCTGAACCAATGCCTCACGTATAAATGTCAGGTGGAATTCTGGGTTGGGCTAATACCACCCGGCCACTTTCCACCTGGGTCCAGATGTGCCCCCCACCTTGTTTCTGTGAATTCAGCAGTTCTGTGTCCCTGGCGCTCTGGGTGCCCCCCCATTACTACTCTGATACTGGGAAGCTCCATGCTATACGGAGTCTGGGAGAACGCCCTCGCCTGTAGCTATCTGTGCCAGTGCTGCCTCTGCCAGTCATTCAGGAGTGAGCCCCCTGTCAAAGGTGGGCAGAAGCTGTCATTTGGAAGGCCCCCAGCTGTTGGTGGGAGGAGAACAGCTTGTTGCTTGAGTGCTCTGGGCTGAAGGTGTCACTCAAACAGGGCCACGCCTGCATCCTGCCGGCACCTCCGACTGCACCTGTTTTCCTGCCCCCCATACCCTGGCTGTCTGAAGCTATCACAGGCAGCAGGGTGTGGGGAGAATGAGTCCATCTTGCTGCCCTTGTCGCTGTGGGGACAGGCAGGCAGCCTATGCCAGGCACTTGGCTGATGGCACAGATCTGGACTCCTCAACAGAAAGCTAAGAGCCTTGTGGTCAGTTTTCAGCCACATCTGCAATGTTTTGCAAAGCAGATTTTAGGCCCATGACTCAAGGGAAACTGGGTCACAGTAGAATTGCTCCTAGATTCTTCTAACAGTCCCCAGTCATTGGGCCGGAATCTCTCTGCCTCCTGCGCGGCTGTCTCTGGCAGGTGTGTGGGGGAGGCAAGGACAGCCCCCACAGCCCTAACTGCCTTTGTGCAAATCTTACCCCCATGAGAAAAGCTAATTCACCCTAAAGTGAGTGACCCGTAGCTCTTTCTGCCTCCTGAAAAGGACTGGTGTCTATAAGGAGGTGAGTAAGCCTGGCTTCTCCCCACATTGCTCTCCTGACTGAAGGGGTTTCTGGCTGGGGTGGGGGCTGCAGGGCTTCCACAGCTCATTGGGTGCTCCCTTCCCTCCCTCCTCTCCAGCTCATCACATAGGCTGTGGGTCTAGTCACGGGAGCGGGCATTTATAGAGCACCAGGTGTGCTGCCCTCTGCTCCACGGGTGGCTGTGGGGGGCCCTCCCGCTCTGTGAGTGTAGAGGCCCCACTTGAGCCCTGGGCTGGTCCAGGTGCCAAAGGCTTCTGGAAGGCCCACCCCTAAGAAGGAGGACTGAGCCGAGGATTCGTGCTCCCCACAGGCTGCAAAGCCACTAGGCTCAGAGGGACCCCCTGCGAACCTGGGGAACGTCACAGACGCCGCCCACCACCCGGCTTTTTGGCCCGGCTACTGCGCGGAGCCGCCTCCAGAACCGCTTCCAAAAGCTGGGAATTGGGCGCAGCCAGGAGCCCAACAGAAACTGCGGGAAGCTTGTTCCTGGCACAGAAACCCAAAGTGCCATTTGCTCTCCTGGCACAGACGCCAGAACGGCGGGACAGGTGCAGAAGGGGTGGCCCCGAGCGCTGCTGCGACCCCACCAGCCTCGACCTCGACACCCCACGACCCCGCCGGCGCCTGGAAGCAGGAGCTGCACCCCGCATCCGCAGGAGGGCGGCGCTGCCACACCCCCGGTTTCCAGAGGAGGGCGCTGCGGCGCGGGGCGGTCCCAAGTGGTGCCGAGGCTGGGACACTCCGACGCTGATTGCAGGGGGGTGGGATCCGAGGCTGGGGGTCCCGCAGTCTGGCTGGGATCCACTACTGGCCTCGCCGCACAGGGGCCGACCCCACCCCTGCCTCGTTCTTCTCTGAGCCTCAGCTTCCCCCGTGAGAGATGGAGGCGGTCGGGGGCGCACCGGACGCGACCCCGCAGGCAATGATGGGGCTGGCAACGCCCCCCACAGCGGCACAGGCGGATAAACCCCCTGGGGAGGGAGCTCAGTCCCAGGGGGAGGGGCCCTTCCCACCCGGGAGCTCGCCCCATACCTGGGGGTGCAGATCCCGGGGCCTCCCTGCACTCTGGCCCTGCTGAGACTCCATCACCCACCCCACCTGGTGGTAGCAGAAGGGGCAGAAGCTGAGTCGTTTCCTCTGCAGACATCGGAGAGGGTGGGGTCAGGGCCGCCACGTTCCCAGCCCTGAGGCTCTTCCCGGGAACCCACCTTCCAGACCTTTGCTGGAGCGGCACCCACGTTCCCAAGACACCCAGACAGTTTCTGGGGGGGGGAACTGCTTCTGTCGAGCAGCCGCCCCTGAGGTCAAAACCCTGCTCAGGGTTTCCTTACAGTGTCAGTACAATGACAATGGCTGCATTCAACTTAGTGTGCACTATACATAAATTATGTACATGTACACACTACATCCATTAAAGTCATTTTTAAAGCTTCATTTTGAAATGATTGTAGATTTACAGAACAGTCACAAAGATTGTATAAGAGGGCTCTTGTATGTGGTGCCTGGGCCTCCCTAAACACTGCCATTGCATCCACCGAGTGTTCGTCAAAGCTGAGACCTGGCCATGGTGCCGGCGATCACCCCACTGAAGACTTCCTTTGGGGTCACCACTTTTCCAGATCCACCTCCCGGGCTCAAGCGATTCTCTTGCCTCAGCCTCCTGAGTACCTGGGACTACAGATGCCTGCCACCACGCCTGGCTAATTTTTGTATTTTTAGTAGAGACGGGTTTCACCATATTGGCCAGGGTGGTCTCGAACTCCTGACCTCCTGATCCGCCTGCCTTGGCCTCCCAAAGTGCTGGGATTACAGGCGTGAGCCACTGCACCCAGCCTAATGTTAATTTTTAAGAAGGTAAAAATTCTTTCTAACTTGAAATAAAACTATGGGGAAAATTATAGAATTGAATGAAAAATTAAATAATACCTACATAAAGAAAGACACTTGTTATTTTTCTGGGCTAGGTAACTCCACACGTAAAGACATCCATCCTCCCCAAACGCCAAAGAGTTAAGAAGAAAATTCTGTGAAATCTGACAAGCTGAGTGTTGCATACAGACCTGCAAAAGGCCCATCTGCCAGAACAGACACCTGAAGGAAAAAGAGAAGAGTGAGGTCCACCAGATGCCGAGACAGAATGATGATGGTGCAGCGGGAGGAAGACAGATAATGGGTCCAGAGTGGGGAGCCCGTCCCCAGACCCCCATGGACACAGGACCCACACGTGGGAGCAGAGACAGAGGTGGAGCCTCAGGACCTTGGAGAAGGAGTGCAGTATTCCCAGATGGGACAGGATACTTGATGGGAAAGAATAAAACTGGACTCCTGCACAACACACAGACACATTCTTGTTGATTGTAGATCTAAATATGAATCCCAAATACATGCAGGCAAAGAAAAACACAGTCCCTGCCACCCTCTGGCCCGTCACCAGCTGTATTTCCCTTTGTAGTTGTGCTGTTTCCTGAACTGGTGCTGTCTGTTGTGTGTTTGGCTTCTGATTGCCAGTCTGCTAACAGAAAGCCCTGTGGGAGCAGGCGTGCCAGTCAGCTCAGAGCTGCATCCCTGGCACCGAGAGCAGAGCCTGCCACTCAGCAGGTGCTCAGCAAAGAGTCAATAATAATTTTTTTTTTTTTTTGAGACGAAGTCTCGCTCTTGTTCCCCAGGCTGGAGTGCAGTGGCGTGATCTTGGCTCACTGCAACGTCCGTCTCCCGGGCTCAAGCGATTTTCCTGCTTCAGTCTCCTGAGTCGCTGGGACTACAGGCTCCTGCCACCATGCCCGGCTAATTTTTGTATTTTTAGTAGAGACGGGGTTTCACCATGTTGGCCAGGCTGATCTCAGGTGATCCACCCGCCTTGGCCTCCGAAAGTGCTGGG